AGCCCGAGGCTCCGATTCAGACCGACACTGTAGACGAAGTCGACTATGATCCCAAGGGTGACCTGGATGAATTTGGTGCTAAGGACGCTCATGGTGGCTCTGCATGGGAAGATGATGACGATGAAGGTGAACCAGCTCAATGTGCGGCCCAGTAGAGGCCAAATTTCCTTTCTTTCTTGCAATTATACCTTTGCCGTTTTGTGCATTCGTTGATGAATAGATCTGTTGGATGCATTTGGGCCAACTCTTCTCTGGCATCATGGGCGTTCACGGGAAAACACTTGTTATGAACAAAGTGGGAAAAAATTATCCGTATTGACTTATGACCGTTGTTGTTGTTACCATATTTTCAGGGCGTGAATAATGCATGGTAGTATTAGAATACATAGACCAACTCAGCTTCACGGAATGCCGTCATCCGATGCTTTTAAAGGGTCCTTAAGCTCCACTTTCTGGAGCCCTGATCAGTCGCCCCCGTGGGGGGAAAGTGTGGGATGGACCCATGACCAATGACTTTCTTGGTGATTTGTAACTAATCTTTTTTCCTTTTTTTCTTGTCTACAATTCGTTGCTATGGCATCCACGGTGTGAGTATATATCAAGTCTATCATTCAAGAACATTACAAAGATGTGTGGCATATCTTGCTCAGTCTCCTCAGGAGCTTTATCTAGCCCAACAATGTTGCAATAGCCTCGAACGATAGGAGAGAGGTCGTAGATTGAGTTCCTGAACAGGCCCAACAGGTACTACCTGACATGCGTTCTGGCACTCGGACTTTATGATATTCTACTAGAAAGAGAAATCAAGAGGGTATTAGAGGTAGGAGAGGAGAAGTATTACATCGAGCAATCGCCTATCGACAGTTTCTACTCGCGATTAGTGTTGACAGCTCACGAGGCACCAGGAGACTGGATACCGTGGGAAGACGTGAAAGGACCAAGACATGTCCGTGAATGTTGCTCAGATGCCGCGTTAGTCACTATATGGTATAGTGAAAATTTACCCAGATTTGCTAAACTTAAGCAATACCTAGCTGCTCAACATCGGCCTTGTAGAGGAGTTTCATCACGTACAGCTAATGACGATGCCCGCTGCTTGCGCTGCAGCCGAAACAGAGTTGTTGAAACTATCGCTTCTTTCTTTGAAACTGTGTCCGAGAGTTGGCTTACAGTCTACACTAGGCTATAAACTCTGGCAGAAGGAAGTGCTAGTTATCGCTGGCTATACTCTGTGGTATGACAGTGAGAAAGATGAAGGGGTGGGTCTGGTGGTTTTCAAAGCCTGGCCTGGTATATTCCTGCTTGTAACCGCTGCTTGGCATATAATGAGTAAGTCGCTAGGAAACTTATGCATATGAATATTCTAGGCGCTATTCATAAAGCGCGGAAGAAGATGACCCAAGATGCTTGTGTCTTTGGTGTGATTACCGACCGACGTGTGGTATTTTAAAGTCATATTGTCAACCTTTCGAAGGCAATAGACATAATTTGGTGTAACAGCACCGACATAACTGAGACCTATATATACTTTCGACAATGGCTGCACAAGTGTTAGCAAGTCCAGTATCGTAGGATAGCCCCCCCCCCAAAATGGGAAATCTGATTCTATAATGCACAGGGCGAAAGCATTATGTGGAGAAGGGAATGTTAACGATTCGCGTCGAATGACAATGGAAAAAATGGCTTCCTGAAACTTGATTTCGTTGTTGATCCTCAATAAGTTGCAATAAGCATTTCGCTATCATGCAATTCGATACTGAACGTGTATGGAGTATGTAATAGCTTCGGCCCACCGTAGTGACTCGCCGAATAACAGCAACTAGAGTTGCAAGTTGAACATAATATCATGCTAATCTGCGGCCGGGATACATGACTCCGGAAGTAATTTATAAACGTGATGTCTGGATGGGATTAATGGACACAGCAGATTTGATGCACCCCCATGCGATGCTTTATGATACTAGCGTGGGGTAGAAGAGCAATTGATGGGTCTCCATCATTTGCCCCCACAATCGACCAACACGTACCGAGAATTCATCCCAGCTTTTTGACCCGAAGAATGGGGATATGATGGGGGTTCTTGCGCGGTCCTTATTTAAATGGTCCTGCATTCCCGCCACCCGATCTCCCGTCATCTCTTGCAACCCTGGTTTCGGCATTAATACGGCTGTGGATGTCGGAGATTGTCCGGGATTGTTCGGCATTGATTGTGTCCCGCATTTGATGTGATACCGGAGAAGATTATTTAATCTCACAACAGTTCGTCTTTCTCCAGGTTATTTTTACCATCCGTAAAAGCGAAGATAATTAGGCAAAGGTAATCACACAGGAAGACATATAGCCATATTGAGATTTCAGTAAAGAGAATCGCAGAACGAAAGTGGCTAATGGCCTTCTAGCCCGCGATCTAGTACCGACTGATCATAAATAATATACGATCGAGTGTCGCATTATCCCAGATTTTCTCCCGACCATGTCGTGTCAGTCACGCACCTCGTGTGAGGGCTGCTCCTGCAGTGACGGGGGCAGCCGACCACCAGTGAACATTGAGGACTGTGAGAGTGAACTGCTTGCCCTTCGAAGGCGCACAGTGGAGCTTGAGAAAACTCTGGCATCAATGCAAGATGGCCGGCCAAATGCTAATGCATCAAGGCCCCGGAAGTTACGGTCGGCCAACTGGTTTAATTGCGAGAGCGACCCAGGCATGATGGCCCTCTACATTGAGCGGTACCTCAACTATGGCATCACCCGGGAAGAACTGATGTCCGGTAAACCAATAATAGGAATAGCACAGTCCGGATCCGACTTGTCTCCATGCAATCGCCATCACCTAGAGCTGGTGAAACGGGTCCGAGAAGGCATTAGGTCCGCCGGAGGGATTGCTTTCGAGTTCCCCACGCATCCTATTCAAGAGAGTAGCAGGAGACCCACCGCCTGTATCGACCGAAATCTGTCGTATCTGGGTCTGGTAGAGATTCTCTTCGGATATCCCTTGGACGGTGTAGTGCTCCTGACGGGCTGCGACAAGACTACTCCCGCCGCTCTGATGGCCGCGGCTACAGTGGTGCGTGATTCCCCGTATCCCCGCTCATTTGCTCATATAATTGACGTTTGTTCGAAGAATATCCCAGCAATATGCTTGAATGTCGGCCCAATGCTTAACGGTTACGTGAAGAACGACCTGGCGGGGTCCGGCATGGTAGTGTGGAAGGGTAGAGAGATGTATGCGGCAGGTGAGATCAACAAGGAGGAATTCATTGACTATGTGTCCAGAGGGTATGTCCATCGATAACTATGGAAGCCCATTCACTGACGATGTAAAAGTGCACCATCAGTGGGACATTGTAACACGATGGGAACAGCATCAACTATGAATGCTTTGGCAGAAGCGCTTGGAATGGCACTACCTGGATCGGCTGCCATACCGGCTCCGTATCGTGAGCGTGGTCAATGTGCTTACGAAACAGGTTTGCGTATTGTTGAAATGGTTCATTCCGATCGGAAGCCCAGCGATATTATGACTCGGGAGGCTTTCGAGAACGTCATTGTAGTTAATACTGCTATTGGCGGCAGTACTAATGCCCCCATCCATATCAACGCCATCGCCAAACATATTGGGGTAGAAGTTTCACTAGATGATTGGGACCGACTCGGATTTCATATTCCACTACTGCTGAACATGCAACCGGCCGGTGAGCTCTTGGGAGAGGAATACTATCGGGCGGGTGGGCTACCCGCGATTATGGCGGAGTTGCTAGACGCCAGGAAGCTGAACCCGGATGCTTTAACATGCAATGGTTACACAGTAGCCCAGAATGTCCGGGACAAACATACCTGGGACCGTCGAATGATCAAGCCGTATAACGAGCCACTTCTTGGAGATGCAGGTTTTCTCCATCTTCGAGGCAGTCTGTTCCAGTCTGCCATCATGAAGACATGTGTTATATCGGAGCCTTTCCGACAAAAGTTCTTGGAGAATCCCGAGGACCCAAATGCCTTTGAAGGTACAGTTGTAGTATTTGATGGACCGGAGGATTATCATCACCGACTTGAGGACGCTTCCACCCCCATCGACGACAGAAGTATCCTGGTGATGCGCGGTGCCGGCCCATTGGGATACCCAGGTGCCGCCGAGGTTGTCAACATGCACCCACCTGGACGGCTCTTACGTCAAGGGGTCAAATCGCTTCCGTGCATTGGAGACGGGCGACAATCGGGAACTTCCGGCTCGCCATCTATCCTGAATGCTAGTCCCGAGGCAGCAGCGGGTGGGAATTTAGCCCTTCTTCAAGATGGGGACAGACTCCGTGTTGATCTAAACAAACGGCGCGTTGACATCCTTGTTTCCACGGAGGAGCTGGAAAAGCGGAGGAAGACACTAGAAGCCCAGGGGGGCTATGATGTGCCGGAAAGTCAAACTCCATGGCAGGAACTGTTCAGGCGGGAAACGACACAGTTGAGTGATGGTATGGTCCTCCGAGACGCGGTAAAATACCAACGACTCGCCCAGCGATATGAGAACCCTCGGCACAATCATTGAAGGATGAATCTAGATACCACCGATGTAAGGAGCTGTAATGATTTGAAATACCCATAACAAGGCTCTTTCGCAATTTTTCGGCTGTCCCGGAGGTGTGTTCTCCGTATAGAATTCCATTATTCGGTCGGGATTTCTCAGGACCGAACTGACAGTGGCATCGATCACAACTGATTCACGGAGAAATTCGACCTTACCCGAGATCCCGGTACCGTACTGTACAATAGTCTGTAGTGGCTACTTCGATAGACATAGTAGAGTCAGGCCATTTAGAAACAGAATGATTTGCCTAGTAACGGTGGCACGGACTCAGTCTCAGGAGAGAGTCGTGCCGAAAGGGGAAGGTTGGAGAAGTTGAGGTCGGAGAGTGAGAGAGTACTAGTAGTAACTTAGAGAGTTGGTTAGTGTTCCATTTTAGTAGTCGTACTGGAGAAGTGCCAGTCATGGGATTAGACCCCCTCCCTTTGACTTCCCCTCTTGACATGCCATCTTCATGATCACGAACATTCGCTACTAATACCACCCTTTTCAGCTGCTTGTTTATTGGCTGACTTATTTCTGTGAAACCACCTTAACCACCCCTACCTACGGAAACGATAGTGTTGAATCTACTCCGTAGTGGCAGCGACATCCTACAGTTTTCGAGTAGGCAGACATGTTTCGCCGGCGCTCTGCATACTAATTAAGTCTTGGAATATCAGTCCCACAATGATGGAGATAGTCACAGTTATTCCGGTCAGAGTTCGCAGAATTGCCAAGGCCCTAAGAGCGGTGACTATTTTGCGTTTCTTGCTTTCCCGAATCCCCCCAAGTTATGGCCATGGGCCATATCTCGTCACTTCCAACAAATGGCTAATGAAAGAATTTGACTGGGACTAGAATCCTGGCGAGTGAACCGAGCGCCCTGAGTTTGAGTTACCAGCCAATCCCACCAATTCAGCGCTAGATAACACGCACATGGCTGGGGGATTTGACCCGGTCTATATCATCTACGAATCCACCCGATACCTACAAGAAAGCCGCCCAGAGAACTAAAACAAAGAGTATAAGGAGAGCGAGAAAGAAAGCAAGAAAGCAAGAAAAGTTTGATAGCTTACCAATGCGTAAAGCCAAGAACGGGTGTCTGAAGATGGCGGTGGTCTCGAACCATATCCACCCGGGAACCAAGCCAGGAGGTGGACGCGACATCACCAGTTTCTCAACTGTCTGGCGCCGATCATGTAATTGTTAGCAATATTGTCGACTGCCAAGCAATTGAGTCATGAAATAAAAGGACACAGCTGAGACCAATGGCGGAACCTATGACAATTGAAGTAAATGATATTCGACAGTTCACCACACACACACCATTAAAAATTTATAAAAATATCCTCCGGGTGTGGACCGGTGGGTCTCGGGTTACCCGCGCGCAGAGTTTTGAGTTTGCCGTTGCAGCCTTGCAAAGAGTTACAACTAAGAACTTACTCCTACGGAGTACCACCGATGGACCCGCGTACTTGCTTAGGGTCTAGCCTGCAATATCAGAAAATTTTTTCTAGCCACAGCTGATCTCAGACCGCCCCTGGTTGTCAGGCACCCACATCCCACTTTCCCACCATCATTTTTAAAGCTGTTCCTTGTGATCTTCCCGGCGTGTTCCTTGTAGTTTCCTACACAACGAATTCCTTTTAACATGCTGCTTCCTCCTATCGTCCACTTAGATGCAAGCCTGCTACCATGCGCTTCCTCTGAGCAATAAGAACCGACAGCTTCTGTGTGCACCGTGCATCTCCCACCGCCGCACCACATAGTCGTGTATCCCGGCCTCTTGCATCATCCTTGACCTTATCTGTCTCCTTTCAAAGACACCTGTCTCATCAAACGGCCGTCGCCCTTTCCCGAAATCACCCTGTGCAACTACGCATAGGCCTAGCTCATCGCGGGACGCATATATAGTGCACACCGCATCGTTACGTGTCTCGCGGCTCATCTTCCTGTTCTGTGGGAACCATCCAACTGTACCTTTATCAATAATCCCGACGGATTAACGCCACTGCGCTCGAAGGAGCTATAACCGATTTTCAATTGGGCCTGACAACCTCTTCACTTTAAATTATCCTTTCAACTCGAGTTGTTTTTACTTGTGTTTTTCAAGATGGACGTCGACATATAAACCATCCGTCTTCTCGTTCTTTCTTGATCGCAACGCTTTCCATTTTCCCGCAATTAAGCGTTTCAGTTTTGTGTGTATTTTTCAGCTATCTTGCCTCTTCAACCCTCACCTATCCAGGTGAAATCATCCGTCTTACAACATCGTCAACGAGCATCTCACATCATTATTACGACCCATCATGGCGCCCAACCTGTTCCTCTGCCTCCGAACTGTCTTCTGCCCCACGTACTGGTTTCAACGTGGAGAGCGCATCCAAGGGTCTATCCATAAGGAAGAACACTGGGAATCTCCTGTCCCAGGCATCTACAAATACATCCCAGGTCGTGGATGGCACCTAGTTTACAAAGATGGTAATGAGTACGACGAAAAAGTTCCTGTCCCAGTCGTTTACTGCCGCATCCTCCACCGATACATGTTCGAGTATGAACTGGAGGACAGATGCCGCTGGCATTCAGTGACCGTCCATGAAGGTGCTAAGCCGGAAAGATATCTCTTCTTCCGTCTTGATGATGGAGACACCTGGGTTGCCGGATGGGATGCCAAGGGAAAATTCATTCCGGGACCCTATCAAAAATGGTATTACGACTCGGAAACGCAAACCATGCGCCGAGTACTGTTCCCTGACAGCACGAATGTTTCCCGTGCTAGCATCGTCCCAAGCAAGCTGGGCTGATTGCGGCTTCATGAATAACCCATCCCGATGGTTAGCGCCCTGACGGTTCCGGGCCTCTTTACAGGGTTTCTCACCATCCAACCATGATGGATTCTGTTCTGCAGCTGGCTCCTGCAGAATATTGGTTGGCAGGCTAAGAAAGGCAGTTTCTATTCTTGAATTGTTGAAAGCGAGCGTACAAGCGATTCATTATTTCCACTTTTGTTATACCTATGAACTTGCTTGATGGCTCGACTGTTACGACTATTTGTTTTACACAGCGATGGTGTTTTGGTTATAAAAAAAAGTTAGATAGACCTACTTGTTTCCTTATTGTTATGCGACATGTGGTTACATGTCATCACGATAGATATTGGCCGTGATGATTCTTTCGGTTAGAACGTGGTTCAAGGACAACAGACTTGGACAGGAGTTTAATAGTGGTTTGATAGACATTGATACAATATGACAGTGGAGTACAATACTTCTCAATCAATATTCATTCTCTGTGTGTATGTTGAAATTTAGGCGGAACCAACCCTAAAGATACTTATCGTCTGCAGCAAGAAGTGGGTACCCTTTAGTTGCAGCAACAGTGTTCGATTGGATATGCATGGTACCATCCATCACTTGCAGGTGAGGACCTTTCTGCAGACCATGTGATTGGTAAATGCCCGCGGTGTTTTCCATGCAAGGGCTTCCCGGGTAAGTACTAGTAGTAGGGTATGGCTTATCTCGTCAACAAGATTCGACGCGATATTGATACACTCGTTCCCAGAATTTGTCCATAAGGTATAATTAGGGATATTAATTGTATAGGGCTCTTCTATTTCGGTTACTTCATCCTATCGGATCACGAATATATCAATAGTAGAGAAAGAGGCGGTCAAGGTATTTCCACATCAGCCACATAATCTCCCCAAAACAACTGTACGAGAGAGCAGCCCAAATCTAAACCCTAAAACAGATCTCACAAGAAATGCAAAAAGAAAAAGGAAGGAAGAAAGAATAAAGAGCCTCTACAATTTTGCCCCTTCCTTCCCATCCTTCTTAACCAACTTCTCCAATCCCTTCCTCACCCTCTCCTCCATCCCCGCCTTAGTCGGCCTCATCGTCTCCCTCGCCACAAAAACATGCATATACCCCCCAACAACCTTCACCTCCTCCTCCCCCTGCTTAAACACCCCAACTTCATAGACAACACTCGATGTACCGAGCTTCGCAACCCGAAGTCCGAGGTCCAGCACATCGGGGAAAGCAACCGAGGCAAAGTAATCGCAGTACGAGTTGACCATGATACCCACCTGAGACGCTGAGTTGGTCTTTGCTGACGAATCCGAGCCCTTATTGTTGATGGAGAAGGGGTCCATGCCACATTCGGCGATTAACCAGCTGTTGACAATGGAGTCGAAGAGCATTGCGTAGACGGTGTTATTGAGGTGCGCGTACATATCGTTATCAAACCTATTTCCCTTTTTGTTCATTATTTATTCGGGGCATTGGTTTGAATCTGAGATAAGTATGTATTTACCATCTTGTTCGGTATACTTGGTGGAAGACGTAGTCGCTTCGGGTACGGCGTTTCTTGGCTTCGATTTCTTTGGGGGCCATTTTTCTTTTTGGTACTTTGTGCTGGTCTGCTAATGGAGAAATACAGTATGGAGGTTAAGGAGGGTGAAGATTATCGGACTGGGATACTGATATGCTTGTTGTCCTCGGAATATATTCTTATCGGATTCAGATGGAGATGTCCATATTAAATGTTATTTCCGAGGAAGGATTCAGCCGAGGTTGCTTTTGCCGGAGCTTTCCCTGATAAGGAATAGATCAGCGGTCTTGTCAATAGTCTATATCGTGCTTAATCCACTGCGATGGAATAGACCCAGGATACTCGGTGGAGGTCTTGGGGACGGGAAGAGTGCGGATCTGATAAGGGTTATATCGGTGATAAACGTGAAGGAGGGTCATTAGTGGCCGTTTAGTCTGTATACCCGGACATGGTGTGAGATTTTTATGGGTCAAACTGTGGCATCATGGGTAATGCCCTTGGCGAGCTAAGGAAGGTCAAGAGGCTATTTGTATGAATGGTTTTTATCACACTTGTGATTTAAATGGAGAGTAGTATGAGCTTTATGTTTGTCAAAGTCTTGTGCTGCTCCTTAATTCTAAACAGCTATGAGGAGCTGTCAGTACCGAAGCTTTCCAGTCTGAACTCTGTACCTACAATTGGGCTCGCCTGCAATGATCTACGATATACTCAGTAGTAGATTTGACATAGACATTCCAGTAGAAGGAGAATGGTCAAGTGCAATACATTAGACATATTACGGGTACTGGACTGCAGATCGTACTTGCCGCTTTGAGTATCAACCGCATCCCATTATTAGGAATTCAGCAGCTGGGATCATTAGATATCTATTTACTACCAATCGTCAAGTCATGAAGTACAAGAAAGAGCACGGATCAAGATTTCATCTAGAATCATTGGCGCCCAAAACAGATTCATCAATACTCTGTCATCTACACCTCACTACCAGTTCATCCCGTCCAAGCCTGATAGCTACGAGGAAGAAGACCAATCCAACAAGCATTCGCCGAGCACATCAATTCAAAACTGTCTAAGACTCTACACCCAAAAACACGATGCAAACTAAGAGCACCATGCACATCCTCTACCTCACCACCATCATCATCTTCGCGACTGCTACGTTAGCAGCATCGGTCGACCACAGAGCTGAAGTTCACAATCAAACCTCGCAGAACCATAACTCAACCAGGAATATCACTCTCCAGTCGCAAAGCAATACTCCAAATACCAACAATAGTGCTTGCGTCCAGGTTAAAGATTGCCGGAGTGTGGAAACTGCTGCTCCGTCGAATGCCAGTACCAAGGGAACGAAAGATCATTGTCATTCAAATGGTTGGCCTTGTCTACATTTTTCGTCTTGCTGTTCGCAGGTTTGCCAGTGGACGTGGCCTGGGGGGTATCCGATTCCTATTAGGCAGTGTGCTTGAAATATGATTGATAGGGATCGGGAATAATCATTCTAGGTGTACCCTGGGAGTATGAGGCTAGATTGAAAAGTACTAGGGGCTGTCTATACGAGACTGTGTCTGCTGGATATGGCGACTAGAAAGAGAGGGCAATTGCCTAATATTCGATTTCATTGTAATTAATCTGCTATTGTCATTCCTTAGTTCCTGAAACAGGTTGTAGAGAAACAGTATAACGAAAGTCGAATCATACAACTAGATAGAAATATCCTCGAGGGGAAATAGGCAGTCCATTCCCACTACACATCCGTGAAATAACAAGTGAAAAAAAGAAAAAAAAAAAGTTTAAAGTGAAAGAGAGGAGAGAGGGACATGTTGAACAGATTATACTTTTCTTACAAAGTTCTTTGATAAGGTTAACCCATACAGTATGAATCGTTGACTTCGTTGATCCAGGGAATCCCTTCGCCAAGGCATGACCATTCACCACAGTTAATCTTGGAGAGGACCCCGAAAAGCTCATGTACCGTGGGCGATTGTGGTAGGAGATGAACTTTTCACCCACGGTAATACTGTTTGCTCAACAATATCAGGATATTTGTCGAGTGTTTGTGTCCAAATCTCTTGCATTGAACCACCTCGATGGCATATCTATCGCATTCTTCAGTAAATTAACGCTTTTTGCGTTGAAAATCTATTACAACCTTTTGACCAGGGATGCAGATAGTTACAAATATACATTGAAGGATAGTACATAGCTATAGCCAATAGGTGTTAGCAACTTGAGTCTCTAAGGTCATGGTCAACTTGAAGAGGGGTCAATAGACGAGATTATGACAAGTGCTATCTACTTTTAATGACCTGTTTTCAACTCTATCCCAATGGGATTCCATAATACAATTTACAATGACAGTTAGAGATCTATGAGCTTAATAAATATATAAATGGTACTGTACAGCTTTAGGGAACACACTAAGACCAAGCGTAATCAAAGTATTGTTCTTCATGGGATTGTCACCTATTATGGCTTTCCAAGTATTTCCCCTCTTTCAATATATATAAGGACTACTCTTTGTCCACTCATTCTTCTTGCTAAATGGATGTCGATCTTGGTTGGTACCATGACTGGGGCATAAAATTAATGCCAAGAAACATAAACTTTTTTTTTTTTTTTTTGAAATTCAGGAACGCCCCTCCGACCCCACGTAAAAGTACTTTTCTTCAGTCAAAACCACCGCCCATGAACTCGTGATACCCTCCCTAACTCTTTAACTTGGCTCCCTCACCTCGCATCCTCGCCTACCTTGTGCGAAAAGGCAGGATTCCTGCTCCCACCATGGCTCTCACACCCGTCGATACAACGCTCAAGGTGCCTCCTCCGGACCCTGTCGAAGAACCTCCCAAAGTGGCTGTAACACCCTGCGAACCACCGACAGGCCCCTATTACTTCGAGGGAGGATTTCGCCGCGTCAGTCCATACCATTACACATACAACACATTCTGCAAAGAGCGATGGAGGGGTCGGGAACTAGTCGACATCTTTATCTCCGAGTTTCGCGATCGCCCACCGGAGTACTACGTATGTTCCAACACACCGGATCACAACTACGCTGGATCATGTTGACTGATTACATCTCTAGAGAGAGGCTTTGGCAGCCGGGAAAGTCGCCGTTAATGGTAAACCAGCCGGGCCCAATACGAAAGTGAAGAATGGCGATGTCATCTCGCATACCCTGCACCGACACGAACCCCCCGTCACAAGCCAGGAGATCGGCATCATCCACGAAGACGATGGTCTCATTGTCATCGACAAACCGGCCGGTGTGCCTGTCCACTCCGCCGGTCGGTACCATTACAACTCCGTCATTGAGATCCTCCGCTCCGAGCGCGGTGGTGGTTGGGTGCCCCGGCCTTGCAATCGACTGGATCGGTTAACCTCCGGCGTGATGTTCATCGCCAAAGAGCCCAAGGCAGCAGAGATGGTAGCCAGCAGGCTTAAAGAGCGGACCGTGCACAAGGAGTACGTGACTCGAGTGAAGGGCAAGTTCCCAGACGGGGTGGTGGTCTGCGACCAGCCCATTATGCAGGTTAGTCCGAAGCTGGGCCTGAACCGTGTCCGCGCCACCGGTAAGACGGCGAAGACGAAGTTCCGCCGTTTGGCTTACTATCCCCCTCATGATCCCGAACCGGCCGCGGCGAATGAGGACCAGGCTGCGACGCCGCCACCTGCGTATGCGAACGAGGAAGAGGGATATAGTATTGTGCATTGTTTGCCGTTGACAGGGCGGACGCACCAGATTCGTGTCCATCTTCAATTCCTTGGCCACCCGATTACGAATGATCCGATTTATTCGAATCGGCGTGTGTTTGGGCCCGGTCTGGGGAAGAGCGAGGATAACGGTGATCGGGATGTTGAGATCATGGAGCGCTTGAATAACATGGGCAAGACTGAGGTTTCGGATACGGTTTCGTACCGGACTCATCTTACTGCTGCACCGCTTGTGCCACCGGGTACTGAGGCCTCCGTCATCGAGGGCATCATGTCCCGCGAGCACGAGGCTGCTCTTGTAGAGTACCACAAGCGCAAGGGCGAGAGGCTTTCCGGCGAACAGTGTGATGTCTGTGGTACGGACCTCTATACTGATCCTGGAGTGCACGAGCTGGGCATCTTCCTTCATGCCGTTGCTTACTCTTCGGATGATGGCGACTGGAAGTACCGCAGCAAGATGCCTTCTTGGGCCCTTCCCCCGTCAGGCATGGATGGCCCTCGGGCAGTCCCTGACTGGGAGCCAGTACCGGAGGAAGAAGAGATTGTGATTGGGAATGGAACTGTGCCAGAGGGCATGGAGGATGAAGACAAGCCGAAGAGGGGTCAGGGAAATGTCCTGGTTCGGGGCGTGGGAGTGGTGGATAGCGAGAAGCTGCAGAGCAATAGCGACCTGCTCGAGCTTTCCTTGTCGACTTAGAATTTTTGCACTCCTATATTTGCATAGACTAGATGTTTACGACTACGTGATACCTGTATGCATGGATGTCAGGAGTTCTTTGATTTTTGGCTGCATTATTCGCCGCTGGTATATATGTAGAGTCGTGGTTACCTGGCCTTACATTGATGCATGAATATACTGATACCATGATTCAAAAGTACTGAGGATAAACGTGTACTCAAGAGTGGTACCAGATCTCGGACTCTTCTACGGATCTCAACACAGAGCAGAACCCAGTAACGGAATTCCCATCTAAAACCGGATCCAAGTACGCCCTACGCTCAAACACTACCGCCCAACCAAGAGGGACAAGACCGAGGAAGGGAATCGCAATGGAACAGCCCCCATTTCTATTTTATATCCCAGTGCTGGTACCAGCCACCCAATCATGCACATAAAGAGAAATTCGTTATCGCCACGAGATGATTCATTTCAATTCACGACCATACAAGAAAACCGAAGCGACACCTTGCAGCTTTTGCCAGAGATCCCCATCTCCAATTGAAAATGCTTTGGTATAATGATTTTAATTGTTGATTTAATTAGGCTAAAGCATTTAAGCCTCAGTGGTGACACGGCCCTTGGGGTTGGTAACCTTGACACCGAGAGCCTTGGCCTTGGCGATGATCTCGACGCGCTTGCGGGAGGAGACGGCGTGACCGATCCTACAAATTACAACATGTTAGTTTGATGCGCTTTTCTGCTTTGCATAGTTTGGTTGACAGGGTGGGCGTACTCAGCAGCGTAGGTGCGGTTGTGCATGAGAAGGAGCTCAACGTCCTTGGGGTTCTGGACGAGGAAAGCCTTGTGGCCGGAGGGCATCATGTGCTTGGTCTTCTTGTTGGAGCCATAGCCGATCTATCGATTCAAGCCATATCAGTATTCATTGTTCCGTGGTATGAATCGAAGTTCGATCACCGGTCGCGCTGTGATATTTCACTTCCGGATCGAGACTGGGACGGAGAAGAAAAACGTACGGAGGGCATGGGAATGTTCGACTTGAAGCGTCTACGGACGCGGGAGTCGATACCCTTAGGCTTGCGCCATGACTCAGGCACACACTTGAAGCGGTCCGACTGGTGGCGCTTGAAGGTCTTGGTGCCTGTATATTGCAATCCTTGTCAGTTTTCCCCGATATTTTCAATAACCCGAGTGTGTATATGTGATAGATTGTGTCCCAGAAGTCCCGATGTATATCTCCCAAGTGTTTCGTGAGATTGCCAAGTCGTTCTCGAATCCCTTGACTTTTTTCCCCCTTCGAACAGTGATATCATTCTCCGTTTTTCATCGAAAAATTTCGTGCGAAACCTCCTGAATTCCTCCTTTCCCTGACACTCTTGCTATACATGGGACCTGGGCTGTGGTGGATGTGCTGGACTGGAAAACAGGAAGGCAAGATTTTGACATACGCTTCTTGACGATGGGGACGTGCTTCTTTGCGAGGACCATCTGGATTCCAATTAGTATCAAGAATAACGACAAGATACAGCCCTCATCCCGGTATAGAACATACCTTGTCGGTTTCGTAAGGCCGCTGGCGCTCGAGTTGTCGTGACGGGTCGAATTCGATCTCAAAATTTCGCGCTGAGGTTGGCCGCCCAGTGCAGTCGGGTGCTAACGCCTCGCTAAGCTGAAAATTAGGGTGAAAGCCCTGCCAAGACTTGCCGCTTCGGGTCTGGTGTCGATCGTCGACTGGATTATGTCATCTGTCTTTACCTTCCCGCTTCTCTTATCGTCTCCCGTATCAATTGTTATGCTTTAGTTCTGATCTCCAATTCTACTCCAATACCATGTTGTACATGCTTTGTATTATGCATCTGTTCTATTGCATTGGTCTATAATTATAGCCCTTTCAGATCTGCAGGTGCAGATTTCTATTCTCGCCAGACTTCTCGCTACTAGTGAAGATGCCCTCCATCACCTCCAAATCCGCCAATGCTTCCTCCGGTCGCAAGCGGGTCGCAATCCCAGCTCCAGTGGTAATAGACTCTGCGAACTCAGCAAGCTCCTTATTGACGCCGCGACCTTCAAATGGCACATCATAACCCTCACCATTCACCGTCAACCGATCAAAATCCAATGTCACGACACCGTCCGCGCACGTAAACTCAAAAACGGAATCATTGATCTCCGAGCCATACGAGACAGACAGCACACCCGTAGCGCCCGTCCGGGTCATAACCAATGCATCAACAGTATCGACGGGGGCAAGATGCTCCTGTCGCAACGACGAATGCGCAGCCACCATAGCCAGACCATCACTCTGTCCCAGAATCAACCGCAGCGCTGCAACAACATGAACACCACCGTCCAGAACAAACCCACCCTGGTACTCGGGTTTCCGACGCCATTCCGTTTCTACGCGCACACATTAGCCCACCCATCCCATACCTCCTCCATCGATACCCAGTAGAAGGGGAGAGACACATACTATGATACTTCGACCCAGGCTTAATCATACTCCTCATGACAACCCGGAAATTCTTCACACCGCCAAGCCTCCGCACTTCCTCCGCAGCCCGCACAAACTTGCTCATATACCGCCAGTTCTCGGCCACAGCCCACACAGTCTTGCTGCTGACAATACGGGAGTTGTGGAGGTTGATCAGGTCCTGTGCCGCAGATAGATCCTTCGCGATTGGCTTCTCGGACAGAACATGTTTCCCCGCTGTCAGGGCCTTGCGGATGAACTCTGGCTGTGCGAGGATGGGGAGACTTGGTCGTGAGTATTCGTATTAGCTCCTCTGTCAACTCTCGTAGTATACTGTAGAACCAACGCACGCTATAATAACGGCCGTAATATCCGACCGACTGAGCAAATCGTCGTAACCTTTCCCCGACCCTGCGTCTTCCGAGTACAGGTCGATTCCAGAGATCCCGGTTGCGAGGGTTTGGGCCGAAGTGAGGGACCGTGAGTAAATAGCTTTCAGGTCGAATGCATCCGATGCTTGCACGCCGGGCTGATTATATTTATCCATGGTTAAGGCCGAGTCAAGTTGAGATGCTCACTACGAGGACACATACCAGGTGTTCTTCGCGGGCGAAGTTCCCTGTTTTCTCCGTTAGGGTTTTGTCACTTTTATACAAATATTCCATTTGAGGTTAAAACGTACCGCTTCCTATGATGGCTACGCCGATGGGCATGGTGGGGTTTTTTCAATTGGTGTTTTGTTTCTAGTCGGGTTGATGATTTGTATATAGGGGTCGGTGTATAAAGAAATCAAAATAATGTATATGTACCGGGATAAATTATTCGATCGATAGTTCGAGAATTTAGGAGTATAAGTAGAAGGTCGAACCCTTAAAGTTACAATTCTTATTGATATTAACCGGGTTGGGTGGGTCACAGAAACTAGTTCCTGATTTGGCGGGGTTCACAAGAACGTGCGGATTTGAAGGTGATTCTTTTTTTTTTTTTTTTAAAAAAAAAGTTTTTTCGGATAGGATTGAGAAAATATTTCTCGATATTGGTGTTCTTGGGTGGTCTGGACGTATGTGAAAATGTTATGTATGTGAACTAGTAGAGACATTCTGATCGTTGTATATCTGCACAGAAACACGAATATATATCGTCGCCATGTACATCGATATAGACAATATGGACATATACATACGTGAAAAAACGCCCCACGACTGCCCACTAAGCTAAAAGAAAACCAAAATTAAGTGCCCAACGCCATAGATGCTGATCATAACCTTCATGGGCAATGAACCCGAAAAACATCGAGTCATGTCTCATGCCAAATTCCAAAACCACGAGGGGCAGTCGCTGTAAACACCAGGGTATAGGTATAACCAACCAAGCAAAAGAAAATTAAGGTGAAAAAAATGGGAGAAAAAATGAAGGATGTGGTAGACTCCTGTCCAGCGCAAATCACTCACCAACGAGTGCCCGAATGCGCTCAACCCTTTCCATCGCCTTCTCGAGTCGCTCCAGACGGGCCCTTTTCTCGACGTCCCGACGTTCTAACACCGCTACTCGCTCCTCGAGCCGCGCACGGGCCTTGCGTTCTTGGGCCACCATCTCGTTGGCCTGGCTGAATAATTGCGCGGTTAGCTCCTCCAGCTCGGAACTGGCCTGCGATAATTGTGACTCCGCTGCTCGTCGCAGGCTCTGTTCGCGATCTAGCGCATTTTGCAGCTCGGCTGTGTGGTCTGGGCTGGGTTGCCGCGACGGAGGCTGGGAGACGGGTTGCGCGGGTGTTTGGGTCGGGGATGTGTTGCTGGGTCCACGAGAATGGAGAAAGGATGTGAGAGTCGATAGACGACCTTGCGAATTAGAAGGAGGTGATAGGGGTCGGTTTATTTCGTTTGAGGACGTAGATGATATAGAGGAGCCATTTCGCGAAGTATATGTGGAGGCCTGGGTCCGGAGATGATCGTGCTCATACTCGGCGACTTTCTCGGCTGCCAAGAGAGATTACAGTCAGTATAGAACATCTCGTGTGTGTGTGTGTGTGTGTGTGTGTGTGTGTGTGTGTGTGTGTGTGTAAAGCCATAATGACCATTGAAGCATATCATGATGTGGTTTTATTTACCTGTTTGGGCAGCCTGGACACTCAAAAAGCTAATCTGCCGCTCCAATTCCTTGATCCTCCTCTGGTCAGCGGCGTGCTCTTGTACTAGAGTCGTCTCCTGGCCACAGGTTGGACAGTTCTTTCCGGGAATTAAACCCGTCGCGTTTATTGTGGGAAGCATGCCGACCAGCGTGGTCGATGTGAGGGCGGCAGTGGTCGTTGTGGTCGACATCTTGCGTCTTTCATGAATCGCCGACAGACTTGAAGATGACAGCGCAAGTCGGGTAGGAAATTGGGTTAGGGAAATGAGAAGGATCTCGTGTCGCAGAAATTGAAGTAAGAGTTTCAGAGAACGGGACAAACCAGTTAAATAGAAACAGATGGCTAAATGTTAGTGACACACACACACACGCATCACTTCCAAACAGGGAAGAATGACAGGAAGGGTGCCAGCCGTAGGATTTCCAGAAGGATAAGAAAGGGTTCTGTCGACAAACAGATGGAATAAATGTAATGATGGCGGGTAAGCAAGTGTGGAGTTACCGACGTTAGGCGCCTTGTGTCTGTTGTATTGCTGATGTATTGTTTACTTGTATTCTAATCTATTCTTAGTATTTGGGGGTGGATTTATTGGGAAAGGGACAATCCAACCACCGTCATATCATACATGGGACCTGACTTACTAGTGAGTTCCTTCCAATCCAGGTCAATAATATCGGTATTTAACATGATCGTCTCTCGGGCAATCGCACCATCTCATCCTGCTTCCCCAGATCTAAATCATAGATTGTCGCTTGAGCAGATGCCAGACACACGTGTGTGGATCCCTTTAGTCCCCGCATGTTTGTGATGGGTCATTTCGTAAATCCAACGACTTGACTTCTTCCACTGCGGACAGGAATCTAGAAAAGCTGGCCTACAATCTGATTGTTCTGAAGGGACATTACTTCTCCGGTCTTTGTCTTCAAAGGAGGTAACTTCCTGGAAGTAATTCCTCCTTACAAGGAGACTTCCTAACGTCCAACCTTGCGGTCCTTCACCCCCTTGCAACCGTTGTTCCCGCCATCTCTCCAACAACCCGCCGTTATCTCCTGGGAAACACATACCAGCCATTAGTTATACGTAGTCACTATGTATCCATTTTCCCCTTACGTGAGGATCTGGCATTCTTCAGGGAAACTTTGTTTTGTTCCTGGATGAAGGGAGCCTTTATCGGCTGGTGATTAGTATCATGCAAGTCTACTGGGTATATACTTTCGTCCCGAGAAGCCGCCACCACGATCTGCATTGGTTGAAAACCAAGTTCAAGAACTGTCATTATACCCTCATTGATAGAAAAATTTGTTCGTATATGACAAAATACCGAAAATTAGCCAACACAAGGCTATGTTTGTTTTCTGAAACACCCCAGAACCTTTCTATCTGAGAAGCCGATAACCACGGCAGTGACGCCACTCATCGTTCCAAAGACGCTCACCATCGTCACCCACCCACCCCGATCACTCAGGAGCCCCGCGATCAATGGCCCCAATACCTGGCCACCCGACCAGGCGACATTGAACAGTCCATACGCTTGCCCCATGCCTCCTTGACTCCCAAAGATTCCCGGCGATTCCTTCTCATGTCGCTCAACGACCAGACTGACTTCCGTCATGAGGGACACCATCTGAAGGGTCGATGCAATACCTGCGATGAATAGAAATATATAAAGGAGAACTTGGTCTTGTGTCGTGTCATGTGTGATGAGCCGAAGGAGGAAAAACGTAGGGAAATCCAGCAGGAACCCAAGGAACGCAATTGTTCGGGATCCGTAACGGTCAACAGCATCGCCTGTTCAAATCAGTTAAAATGCAATCGACATTCGGCTTGCTGGTCACCAAACCTACCGACTAGAGGAGAAAAGAAGGATGGCGCGAACAACGGCAGGAAACAGACTCCGACCCAAAAGGGATCCCAGTTGAATGTCTCCATCACATGAAGCGGAAGCACCTACAGCTACTGGTTAACAAAGCATTCAAGACAGTGTGACTAGGGCCCCGCATACGGTGTCGAAAGAAGACCACAAAATGGCATCGACTATAGTCGCTCCAAAAAAGAGCAACACGCTGCTAGAGCACATCAAACGTACGATAGGTGGCATAGAAGATGTCCTTCCGCTCGCAATTGGCTCGCCACTGGTCTCCGGCCAACAAACGGAATGACGGGGATCGATCGATACTTCAGAGCAATCCTGTCGGGTGGCTTGGTACACGCCATTGCCAGTTTCGTCCGCCCTGCGAAGCAACCCCTCTGTTTCATTAGCGATCTCTGGCTGAGTCCATTTTAAGGCGGTTTTTTGCTCGATCATGATAAGTCGAAGGAGGATATCCAGGACGACTAGTCCGACAGCGATCGTAAATACGGCATCGTAACTTATCCGCGATAGCCTATACGGGTCAGCGAGGTAAGGGCATCTTTATTCAACACATAACTTACACGACCCCTCCGATGAAAGGACCAAAAACAGTTCCCACTGTCATAGACATGGAGACATATCCCATAGCCGCTCCAACCTGGTCCTTTCCCACCGTATCCACAACAAGAGCCATGCCGACCGTCCAGACGACTGCCGCAGACAAGCCCTGCAGGACTCGCGCAATGACCAACGAAGAGAGTGTCCGGGCAATCCAGAACATGATAGTCGAACCACCTAACGCGAGTAGACCGAAGATGAATGGTACCTGGCGCGAGGTGCCCTTGTCGGCAAAATAGCCGAATATAGCTATATCCATGGGATCAATCAGGTTTGCTCATGACTGTAAGAAAAGGACACTTACGAGATCCAACAAAGATAGCACCCCCAAACGCGGCAAGCATGATAGACATCCATTGCTGTACTGTATAATTTCGTCAATGATTTGTCAACTCATCTCAATCGCAGAGGGCGAGGGGGCAGAAAACCACCTACATTGATCATCAGGCACAACCACCCGCGTTTTCAGAACCACAGGCAGGATTGGAACGATCTAACCAGCCCATAATCCATCAGCACTTAACCCGCAAGAAATCTGCTTGTTGCGTTACAACACACCATGCCATAGATGAAAATATCCTACCATCGCCGTCAGCATACATCACCAAAGAGAACCAGGTATATGACTTCAAACCGTAAAGACAGCCATCGACACCACCGAGATCACAAATCTCCTCGACGACCGAAACTCCAGCTTCCACGGTGGGGAAGCCACCGGCACATAATTTTCTTGGATATCATTCCGGTGCATCCTTTCGTTCAGCCGGGCTGCGGGGGGTATCAAGAACAGAGATAAAAGAAAAATTTATACAAGTACAAAAACGAAGGAGACCCATTTCCTTCATTAAATATAGATCTATAGATCTTTAATAGTAACGCAGAAAAGATATGCCGAACATATTATGATTGTGGTGGGTGAGTTGGCCAAAGTATATTTTTGTGCTTATCTTTCCAAATCTGGTTCGGTCGACAGCAAGTGTGGGATGATTGCATGATTGAAAGGCTCCCCCAGCCTCCCCAAGTCCGCATCCCAAGTGGATCGGATTACTTATTCGGGGTATCAGAATGAGAAAAGCCTATACCGTAGACTACTCATTGGGTGGGCCATGGCCACTATGGCCTCTCGCTTCGTCCGGTTCTACAGGGATTAAATTAGAGGCCCATGGATGCTAGCGATTAGAACAAGCAAAAAAAAAAAAAAAAAAAAACAGTACTGCTCATTCTATCACCTCGGGTTAACTGAACAAAAGAGCTGATCAAGGCACGACGAAAATACAATAAAAGCCCAGCGGCATCCCATGTAATAAGCTCCGTATATGATTACCAGTATCAGGGATTAAAAGAGGGAGAAAGAGCAAAAGGGGAAGATAGTCTTTTTTTTTTTTTTCCTTTCTTTTGTTTTGGTTCACTTTTATAAGCCTGGCTTGTAAGATAGACTACCGTTCTTTGGCTCCGAGAAATTACCTCTTCAAGTCGCTGAGTCGTCATCTTATTCGCATGGCTGTCTCGTCAACTAGGAAGGGGGACATGGCTCCGTTAGAAGAACAAGAAGAATAGGACTCCGCACGCCATCCCCCGATCCCGAACAAGACAACGAAAGGGGGGAATCACTGGACACAACAAAGCCGAGAAACGCGGAAGAAAAGGAAACCATCGTTAAGAATACCATAGCGTCTTTCCATCCAGATCGGCCGTAAAGGTCACAAGTGTATACTAAGTCCATTCACATACATGAGAATCACTAGCTCGGAAGGAAACTAAGGGCAACTAGGAAGAGGGGGTAAAAAGAAACATAGAAAACTTTTCGACATGCCGGACAACGGTAGCAAAGACTAGACGTGAATCGGGGATCTTGACTGACGGAAAAAGTCGTGAATCAATCAGAGAGAAATGGAGAGCAGAGAGAAGCGGGACGATTGGTATTGAAAACAAACAGTCATTAACATAGCCAAAAAATCTCATCAATTGAAGGGAAGGTTGTTCGCAGAGCATTCTCGAAAACGCGCTACCTGGAGATAGCCGCAAGCGACAGTAATATCAAGGCAGCATACGAAGAGCCTCGTGAGCAGGATTTCGCTCTGGAAGGAATGTGAAGTTTCGGTCGAGCAATGACTGCATTCGGGGTATCGTTAGATCTATGCGAACGAACGGCCGGCTCCACGGCGGTTGTTACGTTGCCTCGAGCTCACGGTGCTCCAGCCCTCCTCGTCAGCAGCATCGGCTGGCTGATCAGGACCCCGCCTCCAGCTACCGTTTTCCTTGCTAGCGGCGGCGTCATTTGAGGCTTCAGCCTTCGCAGCAGGCTTGGCCTCCTCTGATTGATCTTGGTCAGCGGCCATGCCACTCTCGTCCTCACCGGCCCGCCGGAGGATTTCGAAGTTCTTCGCACCCTGAGGGGTATCAGCAGTATCTCTACCGTTAGGATCGGCGGATGTGCCGGCCTTGTCGCCCTTGGCCTGATCCTTGGCAGGTCGCTGCTTCTCCTTCTCAGCCTTGGCCTTCTCGTCGGCTTCCTTCTTTTGCCGCAAAGCTAGTTGGCGCCGTTCCTCAACTTCCTTCTCTCTCGCGGCGGTATCAATCGGGCGGGCGCCACCGAATGGGCTGGCCCCAGTTCCAGTGCTCGCAGCCGGGCTAGACACGGCGTCGGTCACAGTTCGTTTTTGAAGGTTCAGTCTTGGCCTCGTAGGGGCGGCAGGGGATGCAGGAGCGGCAGCGGGGGAAGGAGGATTGCTAGATTCCTTAGGCTGATCAGGACGCATCTTGGATCTCCAGGCGTTGTCCATTTCAGCTGCAGTAGGTGCCCGTTCTTGGAATTCACGTCGTGGGGGCCTTGAGCCATCCTGGGAACGTCCCTCACCCCAGGCAGGTGAGCTCTTTCTGAAACCCGATCCCTCGTTGGTGCGAGGACGGCCACCTTCTCTCACTGGGCCGGTGGGAGAGAGAGGACCCTTTCGCTCCCAGTTGCCGAAATCGCGGAACTTGCCATCGGATTCGAAGTTGCGGCGTCCACCAGCACGTTCGCTACCAGCATCGGAGAAATTGTCCAGGTTACGTCCGAAGGAGGAGCGGTCAGGCACACGGCGCGGGGCCTCGGGGGCGGGAAGCGGGCCCTTGCGAGTCCAGTCAAATTCCTTGACATCACGTTCCTTAGCTGTAGAAGTGTCAGTGGGTGTATAATGAACCTAATATCGAAACACTTACGAGGCTCTGCGATGCTGACACGGATGGCCCTTCCCTGCAGGGTGGCGCCGGAGAGGTCGAGAGCCTTCTTCAAACCGTCTACGGTCTCGAATTCGACGTATCCGAAGCCCTTAGGGGCTTTCGTCAACTTATCTTCCACAATACGAACATTCGTCACAGCACAGTCGACAAAGAGGTCAGAGATATCAGCCGAAGTCGCATCAAAGGACAAGTTTCCGACGTGGGCAGTATACGGAGGCTGGGTGGGGAGGGGGAGGGGCTCCCTCACGGCGTAACCACCACGTTCACGGTCTTGTTTCTCATTGTCAGATAAAGTAAGATACCGTACAGGGGGGAGGAGGGATGTGTACCACCGAAGCCACTGCCGAATCCAGCGGACGAGAGGCCACCAGCACGGCGATCGCTGTCAAACCTGGGCTGAGGAGGGGCTACATTGTATTAGACTATGTCTATCCAGGTGGGTAGCAAACATCGTGAGCAAGCAGTGTTAACAACGTACCGGCTAGTAGTCATTTGTATCAGTACGAGGTCATCCAGTCTCGATCATTGGAATAGAATCTGTCACTTACCAGGCAAAGGCATGTCATCCATCTCGTCGGCCCAAGAGCCAAAGTCTAATGATTTAGCACTGATCGCCCCGCGGAGATTCACGGGGTTAACTTACTCTCATCAGCTAAGAAGGTGCTGATGGACATCTTCTGGGCTTTCTGCTTAGGCGCTGGAGAAATGATTATTAGTATCCATTGTCGATAAGAAAGACGACAGCGCTGTCATAAAGTGAGAGCGTAATTATGCCTGAGAGGGGTAGAAACACACCCATGATTGCGGTTGTTGGAAATCCAGAAACGCGCCAAGGGAAGCACTTGTGCGCGTCTCACACGGGAGAGTTGAGAAATAGATAAAATGACTTCCGATAAGGAAGACTGTAAGAATGCGAAAGGTGGCGTCTAGTTTTAAACAAGACGATGTGAAATGGGGGGGGTGTTTTGCAGGAGAGCTCCGCAGTGAAGAACAGAGGGGAAAGTGAGTTAATCCGCGAGGATAATTTTTAGTGATGACGCTAGAAAAGTCAGCCTCAAAAAGTGTTGGTGCGGCTTTTCGGTTTGCGCCTCGACCCAAACCCGCGAAGAGGGCTTTTTCTTGCAACCTCGCTTTGCGGAGAAGTGGTCAAACTACTAGAACTCCCCACCTTTTTTTTTCTTTGCTTTTCTTTTTTTTTATCTCTATTTATATTATTTTTTATTATGACCGGCGAAGGAGGATTTTAGTTTTGACAATTTTAAGAGGATTCATAGCACTAAAATCGTAAAACTAAAAATTCATTTGGCTTTAAGCGGTTGATCTCTTCCCTTGCAGGTTGGACGCAAATGGCATTGTTCTGGAATTGTACTTGACGATTTTCGCCGTGCAGGATGCGTTCCATGATCTTTATTACTACTTAGGATACGAACGGAAGCATCCTGTTGGCTTGATGCTATTCGATAAACAATTGACGAACAATTAACCTATTATAGAACTGCATAGCAACCGCTGGGCCCTGGGAATTTTGACTCGGGTAGTCAGGAACCCTAGATGAATGTGGATTCCATTGTTCCCCAAGGACATCTTCGCCAATTCTATACTTATCACAGCCGGTTGAGGTGCTACATAACCGGACCAGACTCTCACATCTAATCATTGCAATATATTTAATTAAAAAAGTAAGACCCATTATATATGAAAAATTAATAACGTGGAGGACAAAATCGTAGTGAAAAGAGAATAAATAACTTGTCATGTGCCCTCGACGTAACTAGTTAACTAGTTAACATGCATCGCCTTACATAATCTCACATATCACGTGTACTACCGCCCTTCGCCCATCCAGACAATAAAAGATGCCAATGGCAGTAGTAGTGATATATCTGGATTTGATTCGAGCTTCTGGTTTGCGGTCTGGACGGTTCACAAGATGAGTGACCAGAATAGTCAAAATCCGAATTTAGAACCTAACGCTCTTTTCTCTTCCCTGAAGGTGGGAGCTCTAAGCGGTTAGTGTTGGCTTTGCTCATAGAACCTACCTCTTGATTCAGTCGCTCGAAAGATACACTTTTTTTTTGGGACTAAATGTACCGTGTTATCCGGCTGCTTACTGGTTTATCATGCAGGCTCTGCAGGCCTTGTCTATGGAGGGATTTCAGGCGTCGTTCGTTCTTCTCGCCACCCAGTGATTCATTCTATATCTTGTGGTATCCATTGGTTCGCCTGTGGAACCTCTTTTTGGTGTAAGTTTCTTATCCTCCTGCTTTCCAGATGTTGGGAAATTTTTTTGGTGTTGAACTCTCTTTGCCAGGGCTAAGGAGCAATATCTTGAAGCTCCATTATGAAGATAATGCCACCGCGAAACAACGCGCTTATGTCAGCGCCTTGTCAGGAGGAATTGCTGGCGGAGCCGTGACAAGATTAATGGGTATTTACTATTTAACCCTCTGAAGCTTTACTGCCAAGCTCCGGTAATTGGATGTCGATGACTGACGTGTGAACAACGATCAGGAGGTCGACTCATTCCAGGGGTTGTCGTCTTTTCGTTACTAGGCTATCTCGGGCAAGGCTCTTATAATGCGATCGACAAATGGCAAATAGAGCAGGCCAATGCTCCATCTAAGCCAATCATCCAGCGAATCGCTGACTCGAAATGGATCCCTCTCAAGTCTCTTTCGGATGATGACTATAGAGGGCTTCTAAGCGAAAAATTGCTGAGTATTGAGGCTGAGATGGCACTTCTTGATGAAAAGATTGAAGAACTTGAAAAGTCCAAGTCCCGTGGATCAGAAGCAGGACCACCGAAACCCGAACCAAAGTAATACAGAGAATCGATCAGTATTCTTTCTCCCCTAAGAGATGGTCCCCTGTCGAAATTGCCATTCGATCGTTTGTCGGATCGAAGCCAGATGAATACCGGACGACCCTTATTGCTTCAAGGGAGTTCGCCCTTGAATTTTTTACTAAACACGAGCACTACTATGTGATGTATTATCGACGGCGTAAATACGGGACCTCCTGTTCTGTGGAGGAGTCAAAACATGCTCAGTTTTACCTGCAGGAAAGGGTGGAGGGGACAATTCTGAAATTACAGTGTGCCCCCTTGGACATACATATGTACATCGTCTTGTATATTAGTTTACGGGAAATGAATGGTCTGTACGATAAGCTGTATAGTATTAGGATTTATTTAGAAATCTGACAGGCCCAATCTTCATAAGCGAGCGAGTCAAGTTGTAGGGAGGTGCACCCATGGACGTGTATCTAGTACTAGTGAGATTGGACACGTCGGTATGACCATTACGTAGGTGGTTCTTGATTGGTGTAAGTAATCTTCCTGGAGAAAGCTTTGTTCCGATGAAACGTCTGTAACATGATGAAGAGAGTAGTGGCGGAATGCAAGGTACTAGTAGATAAGTCAGTTAGGAATGAGCTACTACTACTCCGTAATTACCCAGAATGTAAATCATGAAGCAAGAGCCCCCCACCAGAGTACCGAGAAATAGGGGCTACGTATGTATGTACTTTACAGAACATCGCAGCTCACGTATATGACATGCGTGGTCGAAAAGGGTAAAATGCAGCGTGGAACCGTATCCAATTAGTTCGTAGCAGGAATCAGCCGAGACAGCCGACCGTCCAGAACGGAAGCCTACCAGAAGACTCCCCGTTTGGGTCCAAGTGGGCGGCTTTCCGCTTCCAGTTCTGCCCGCGCGCGACCAGCTCGACGACTAAGGACTAGTGATTGACTGGCTCGACTTGTCTTTTTGCTTACTAGTACATGAAAGTTAGATAGATCTATGGTTCGTCGGACCCGAGTCGCCCATCCTGTCCTATACTGCATCTCTCTTTTGTCCTCTTACTTTTCCCCCTCAGTTCAGAAGCATGAGTGACTCGCAGTTCTTACGTACCTCCTGCGTCGCTTCTCCGGCTGGTGTACAGTTCCGGTCTTAACGGAGACCTGGCCCTCACCGGCTTCGAGCCCTTTGAAGATTGAATGCTTCGGAGGTGCTCCCCACCGTGGAAAAAAAAAAATAAAAATTCTTGAATGAACACAGAAGCTGACGGCCTTGATCGTATCCCGTGGAATTATTAACGACCTCCTAGTCTCGCATCTCGATGGTTCAATTGCTGCGCTGGACTTGTCCTATTCAACGGATCAGCCCTCCTGACCGCGAGCCACGATGAGGCTCTTCAGCCCGACCACGATCCTTGTCGGGTTCCTTCTCCTCTACCTCTTCTCATTTCTTATCTTCGCCATCGTTCGGATCGCGACGGGAATCTCCATACAACGCATTGGCTATTTTTCTCTCCGCCGCATCGCATACGTCCCGAAGCAAGGAGTGCAGATTGAACTTCGTGGCCTTGGACTGTCTTTACACCCCCCTTCGTTTGCCCAACCGACATGGCTCAGCCTTCGATTGACCGACTTGAAGGTAACCGTGGACCCCGCAGCTCTGGCCAAGAGTAAGCGCAATGGAAACCACCCCGATGCATCGGAGCCCACCAGCCCAGGGGATTCTTCCCCGCCAGAGGATGAAGATAACGCTTCCTTCCAAGGGCGGAGCAAGACTTGGAGAACGTTAACCAAGCTAAAAGAGCAAGTGAAGCGGCTACATCGCAAAATACACTGGCTGAAATTGGTGGATGTTGTGGCGGTTAACACTACCGTGAATTTTCTTGAAGCTGGCCAAATTCAGGTGGGAAGCCTGTCATTGGCAGTGGACACTAGACGTAAGATGGTGGACAGAGGGAAGCTATTCCGCCGCAAAAAGTATGAGTCCGGTGAACACCGGCCAGCCGAATGGATAATGACGGTGCAAAATGTCCTTCTTACGGTCGAAGGAGGAGAACCAACAGAATTGCTAGACAACATTGGAGTCAATGTACATGGGATGCTACATAAAGACCTTGAAGGGCTTAGGGATGCGTCGATTGCTCTAAAGATCGGGAGAATGCATATTCCTTACGATGATCTGATGACACTCGCACAAAGAATCAAGAAGTTCCGGCAATCCTTCTCGGAAGCTTCAAAGTGTGAAGCGGACGATGAAGTGTCTTTTGCAGACTTCGTGGAGGAATTGGACAAGCCTGGAAGCCAGGATGATGCACTTGTCCAAACCGTTGCCGATTCAAAGGAGTTTGCCAGCTCTCTGTTGCGGGGAATACATGAAATCCAGATAGCCTTGAGCTTTTTTAGGTTATCGCGAGCTATCCAGCCACCTTCGCCAAAGCAGAGTTCCGTCTATCTGAACATTATATCCCATGAGATAGGGATTGATCTGCATCGGATGGATCAGAATAGTCCCGCTCATCGCATGTATTTCCAGCGGAACGACGTCGCGCATCAAGCCCTCCTCGCTGCCATCTCTCTTTCGGTCAGTTTAGACGACAGTTCGGGGGAGACGGATAATATCCTTTACATACCTATGGCCACTACAACCATAAAGACAACTCTCCCATCAAAGACGATCAGCTCGTTCAGTGAATGGAACCCGGAAGAGCGAAATACTAACATCCTGTTTGCAAATCTTGTGGTAACGTCTCCTTCCATCGATTTAGAACCAAGGCATGTTTCTCGGCTTCTGGGATTGGTTCAGGATAGAACATCCTCCCCCCGTGGGAAGAAGAGAAACAATCACCGACTGATATCCCGGTTGCTCCCTAAAGCAAGTATCAAGCTCTCGGTTCATGAGCCTGTTCTTCGATTCATCTTGCCCATCTCCGAAGCCTCCGATGGCCCAACAGAAGACTACAATCTACTCATATGCTCTATATCCTCAATATCACTCGACATAGAGTCCTCTCATTCATCGGAAGGCGGTGTCCACTATTCCTTATCGTCCATTTACCGGGTGGCGTCCCACCAACTGTATTATCAAACACCACTGGGAGTCAAACATAATCTACTCACAACGGACAATATGGAACTGAAAGTCCTTCTTAGTGCATCCCCAGAGGTATGCGTGATCGCTTCCGGGTCATTGAATACATGTTCTGCCCACATGGTCAATGGAGAGGTCAATCGAGGCATTCAACAGGTGATTGAACAGTTCCGAGCCCAAGTGAAGCCGAGGAGAAAGGTTTCAATGTCGCTTGAAGAGCGGAAACCTAGTGTTCTGAGGCGCCTTCCCCCTTGGCTGCTCCGGTTCCAATTTGAAGCCACGGGCTTGAGCCTGGAAATCGCCGGTGTGGATGAAGCGGTCTCAGAACTGTCTCGTGGGGTTTCCCTCCAGCTTCATTCGTGGACCGCAGATTATAAAGCACAAAAGACCGAACAACCCAATGTGAGTATCGTACGGCGACGGACTCCCAGTCATTCTACGATCGGCGACGAATCGCCCTTCAGGTTTCCTCCGACATCACCCCCAAGACAAACACAACGTGGTGCTGCAGACGGGAGGCGACTCGCTCTGCATGTTCGTGGTTTTGAAGGATTTGTTATAGAATCTGAAGATTATCTGGAGGCGGAGCCTTTCTTTTCACTTCCCAGGTTCGAGGTGGCTTTAAGTACCTTGAGCGACCGTCTTGGGCCTATCTTCCACGTCAACTCCGTGATAAAGGGTGTTTACCTACAGTATTCCCTTTATCGTTATTACTGCGTAGGAGTTGCCGTATCCGTGATCCAGAGCGCTTTCTTCCAACGTTCTCCAGCAACAACACCTCAGACCCCTTCCCCTTGGAACTCTCCTCCTTCGTCGCCCCGCCCATTCGTACAAAGGAATGAGCTTATTACGGTAGATGTCAGAGTTACTGTTGTTCAGGTTAAAACTTTCCTTCCCTCAGATCCCCCTATGATGCTCCAGATTTATGGGCTTGCTGCTGGCTCTCACCGACTCTCTGTTCCATTTGTTCGAGCTCACCTAGTTCGGCTCCATGCTGAGGCCCCTAAACTCAAGGGGGTCTGGGCACGAATTATCGGTATGACCAATGTCAGAGTCGATTTCCGCACTGCCAAATTAAAGCAGGGCGTCAATTTGACCGAAGAGAAGTCGATAGACGTGTGGGCTGATTTTATCCGCTTGGGCGTCCCGCACCACATGGTGATGCATCGCATTTTTGACAACGTGATTAATACATCAAAGGCCCTCAAGCAACTTCACCATCGCTTCAAAAACCATACGGCGGAGTTTGACTCGTCAAGAGACCCGGAGGAACCGAAGAAAGTACCCAGGATATCACTGCGCAGCAAAGCACTGTTGTTTGAAATGGAAGATGATGCATTTGAATGGAAACTAGGATGCATATATCGTGCTGGCCTCCTGGAGCAACGCCAGCGCCTGGCAAGAGAAGAGGCATACGAGTTGAAAGTCCAGAAGATTAAGGAATGTGATCAACGGCGCGCCTCATCGAGATTGCGTGCAAAGTCGAGTCACAGAACCCTTCGCAGTGAGAGGGTTAGCGGGGAGTCGAAAAGAAGCAAAAGTGCCGATGCGAAGCCGCGCAGTAGTGATGCAGATGACAGTAAGCGTGGACGGGGAAGAAAATTTCGCTATGACACTGAAGGTGCAGCTTGTCTCTCGGGCGAATCAAAGATATCAGCAGAAGTGGCCTGGTATCGACTCCAGGAATACAATGCAAGAAGCTGGAAGAAGAAGATCGATGGTGCCTTGAAGTTCCAGGGTACCTCGATCAAAGAAGTACGAAACCTCTTCTCTGGAGCCGATGAGCCACCTGAGGACGTGGAGGAGACGGAGACTGTGCTCTCTATTCCGAACAGGCCTGCTCTTATGGCGGCCTTAATAAGCGATATCAATCTTGTTATAGACAAGCCGTTCTTTCCTTTGGAAGATTATCCAACATTCCTCCACAGGATTGGAAAAGGCATTCCAATGTCTACACAATATGCATTACTCATTCCAATGAGCTTCCAGTTGGACATGGGAGAGGCCCGCGTCAACTTAAGGGATTATCCCTTGGACTTGTTGCACATACCAGCTCTACGCCCTGGACAATCACCAAGGCTTCCAAGCTGGTCACTTCGAACCAACTTTGTCATCGCGGAAGAATATCGTGATTATAAATCGGCCAGGCAAGTCCAAGTAGAGCTTGTTTCTCCAACCGAACTTCCGGACGGGTCCAGAAGTCCTTCGTTCGAAATGAGCGTTTGGCGATCGGTAAGCCCTGTCAAGACGTATTCTGATCCGACAATCGAGATCAACACGAGTCTTCCAACGAGCATTTCTTGGGGTATGTCCTAC